CGGTGGCGGTGGTGGTGGCCATATGATGGGCGGCGGCGGCGGCGGCTTCGGAACAGGTTTAGGAGGAGGTGGTCTCGGTGGCTATGGCGGCCCCTATGGTCAATTTGGTGGTGGACCAGGTGGCTCCCCCTACTTTTCTCGTCGATATGGGTCACCCTATGGTTTTGGAGGAGTGGGAGGAGGAGGACGAGCCTTTGAGCCCGGCCACCTGTACAGTCGTCGGCTGTTTCGAAATCTTCAGGCGCAGACCGATGACTACTACAAGTCCAAGAAGTAGGGTTCTTTCTTTTCCACCAAAAAGCTTCCCCCCAGACCTCAACTGCTCCTCTTTTTCCCTTTCTTTCTTTTGTTCACTCTACTTCTCATTATCATTATTATTATTTATTGTAATAATTAAACACTTTGTAAAGAAAAACCCTTTTGAGCTTTGAAAGCTTTTTTAGTAAAGAAAAGTTTTGACAATAAGAAAAACTCTAGAATCAATGTGTAGTGCTGTTGCGACTTTCTGACAAATTGTTGTTTGAAACCGTTCACCCAGATTCACTCAAAAAACTGTGCCAAAAACAAAACAAAGTTTTTTACAATAAAGTGACCAAAACTGCAGAGTGTCCACTTGGCTCGAGGATGTCAAGAAACCAACCCTCAGGAAAAGTGACGATTGTGGTAGAAGTGTCTGACTTTGCCAGCTGATAATTACTGATTAATCTCTTTCTAAGATTTTTGAACTGATAAGCCTTTTTGATGACAATAAAAATAGAAACCCCTCTTCAGGCAACTGCTGAAAATGATGATGAAACACTGATGAACACTGATACTGATGATGATAGCTCTGTGTGTGATTTGTCTCTTAATTATAAATGCTAATTTGATTCAACTTTTCTTTATTATCAGCCTCTACACACACAGTTTTTTTCACAGTGTATCCAGTTTCACTACTCTTTTGGTACGACTAGTTTAATTAAAACGCTGAACTAAAAAAAGATAAAAAAGGTGATACGATCAGCTCACTTGAACTTCAACTTCGACTTTTTATTAGCTGTTGTAGTGTAGCCATCGACTGAACGTGCTTTTCAAATAACGTGCCTGCTGTCTTGTAAGCAAAAGGCAACCAAAAAGACGAATAAAGTACTAAAACTGCCAAAACGGCAAATCTGTTGAGAACTGTCTATCCAGACAAAAAATGGAAGAAGAAAAAAAGAAGAAAAAAA